TACTTAGGGTACACTGTGCTTGTTTTGTCAAGTCACAGATACTACTAGACTTTTAGATCATCTTTTCTAATTCTGTTCAGTATGTATTTTTAAAATTGTCTTGATAGATCACCATCATTGAAATACCCAGACTGTGTCATATAAGCCATTGCCACAATCATATTTTCTACGAGTGCTAGAGAATACAATGGCGAAATGCTGCATTCCAGAAGGAAAGAAGGGCAGGTATGGTGAGTCTAAGCAAAAAGCTGACTTACTGATTCTCATTTGAGAAGTAAACTTCTCTATCTTTATCCAAAAATCCGTATGTCTATTATCTATAATTTGAACCTACAAAAACTACATATAGGGATATTTGTTTTTTACCTTGATTCTTCAGGACTGGAATTACAATCATTTAGGGTTCCTCCTCTTTGACTGGTTGCTGGCAAATCTGAAAGTTGCAGTGCTTCAGCTTCTGCCTGGATGAAAAATTCTGGGTTTTTTTGAGAATTCTGATGAAACTGAAACTCAACACAAGTGTCATCTTTTTTCTGTCCCAGGATGTGTGTTTCTAATTGGAAACAGAAGCAAACACATGCTTTTCATTTGGAGAAAGAAGCACGAACTTGAGATTTCTCATTCAAAAATGGCTTGCTATAATCTTATTTGTAGCAGAAAGTACTCTAGTTTCAGGTTCACAGCTTCCTCACCCCACTAAGGAATGAGAGCTTTGTTACCTAGAGCATGGTGTAAAGTTATGACCTATTTACTGGATTTTTCTCATGGAAACCTGAAAAATCCATTGCCATTTCCTGATCCCTCTTCCCCTTAAATGACTGTATAAAATAATGCTGACCCTATGAAATTATCTACCTATCTTCTGCAAAAATCAGCTCTACTCCAGTGAGACATGATGAATTTCTGCTGTAGGCAGGGAGATTTGCAGGTTATGAACTAGACTCTTAGTTATGCTGTTTCAAATCTTAGTTGTGTTGTTTCAAATCATTTTGGCTACAAAAGGAGTATCAGCAAGCTGTAATTAGCAACAACAAATCTAAGGCCCTATTATTCGCTCCTGGAGAGTGTAAGGTACAGGCTTATACAACTTAAGAACTTGAAGAATGCAAAGCACAAATTGTGCCAAAGGGAAAAATTAGCTGATTAAAATGTAAAGTGTGATAGTTACTTCTCTTAAGCTTGGCTACTAGATATTTTTAGGACATGTTTCTGATATCAAGGTATTTAAATGAAAGAGACATCTACATACCATGAATGTTCTTTCATAAAGTAAGAACAAGCAAGTTTTAATCATAGAACTATATTAAAAAATGAGGAGGAAGAAGCCTAAAAAAGCTGCAAATGGAAGAAAGTGCGTGTATTCTTCATTCTTTCATTTAGATTAGTAGAGAACAAACACTGAAGCTTTTGCTCATTTAATAAAGTTAGCATTTCCAAATATTTTGGATAAATTATACAGTATACATGGATTCAACTTATTACTTCCTCCTCAAAAATAATAAGAAACTCTCTATACAGTTGTAATCATCTACAAATAGCCCGAAAACACACCTCATCAGTATCGAGGTGTCATGCTCCATGTAAGACACAAAAGCACAGATTCTAAGTCAAAAATACTGAAGACTGTCTCTGTTGCAATAGATTACTCTTTCCTCGAAGAAGGAAAGACACAGCCAATGGCACAGGAAACATCCCGAGGGCACAGAGAGATGACTTGTGGATTGGCTGGAGTCAGTTTAACAAGTTCCCACACAGAGTTATGTGTTACTACCTTGAGGAAAAAGTTATTGTACCTGGTGCTCATCTGTATTCTCCTTACATAATTCAGCACAAATCCACTTGAATCCACTCTCACCATTACTCTAAACTATAACCACTGATTTTTGTACTAGAGAAACAACATTCAACAGCATATCAGAATCTTTGTTTCCGAGCAGTAATAAGTATGTGGAAACCATAACTTGACTACACATTCGTTAACAAGTATAACCTAACACTACTTTCAGTACTGTCATGGAAATGTGTTCCTCAGATGACTTCACAGCTAATGCAGAAATTGAACACAGCCACTGGGATTCTTAATATACGCTGTTGTTCACTGGCTTGAAACCCTGAAGGTTTTTGAGCAGAGATTTCCTTTTAAGTACTGCTACATTTTAAAACTGGATTCAACCTCTTGCTTCTCCTTACACTAAGTAGCAAGGATCTCTAAAGAAACAGGTATTAAAAAATTCTCTATGTGTACTCTACAAACCTGCCCCAACTTGGGAGTGACAACACGCAAGTGCAAAATTCAGAATCCTCTCCAGTTAGTACTATCTGGAAACTAACCTAGTCTGAATTTCAATACTTGCAAAGTTTTTTATAGAGGGGCATGCACTTGTTTGAGATGTGTTTCCCATTTGATTTTATAATATAAAGAACTGCCTATCAAACATCATCCTGTCCACTTCTCCCATTTCAGATACAGTGATCTGTATATACATGGTTGCAAATTATGCTCTCACACACTGAAGGGAAAGTGCAATGCTTCACTTGCCATAATAACTTTTCCTCCCCTTCTTCTCTAGGGCATCAACATTTCTATAAGCCTCAGGTGAAGTGTGTTGCATTCTGTGGAAGAATTCAAGCACAACATATCTGTTGCAATAACTAGTGACTGTACTGCCATGAACATTTGTTCCTTGTTTAGTATTACTGCACTCTCCACACTATATTAAAGTTGGACAAGAAAAACCTTCTCACTCCAGAATGCTAAGAAGATTAGATGACATTATGTACCACAGTCACACTAGAATAAATCAAAAAAGGGATTATAATCCTTTAGCATAAGAGTAATCAACTGAATAAGTTGTTCTTCTTTTCACAGTTCCTATTTTTTGAATTTGCTGCTTTTAGTACAAGGACTTTAAAAAGAGTTTGCAGAGCTGCTGCAGTTGCTGGGGTCCACTGGAGATCATCTAGTCCAGCCCCCTGCTCAAGCAGTGTCATCTAGTGCAGGTTGCCCAGGACTATGTCCAGAAGGCTTTTGAATAGCTCCAAAAGCAGACTCGACAACCTCTCTAGGCAGCCTGTGCCAGTGTTTGATCACCCTCAAGTAAAAAATTGTTTCCTTGTATTCAAATGGAATTTCCTGTGTTTTAATTTGTGCTCATTGACTCTTGTCCTCTCAGTGGGTACTACCGAAAAGAGTCTGGCTTCACCTTCCTAAATCCTTTCCATCAGGTATTATTTATATTGATAAGATCCACTCCCCTGAGCCTTTCCTTCTTGAGGCTCAGTCTCAGGTCTCAGCCTCTCCTCATACATAAGATGCTCCAGTCCCTTTGTGGCTCTTTGCTGGACTTGCTCCAGTAAGTCTGTCTCTTTCCTGTACTAGGGAGCTCAGAACTGGGCTTGACACTCTAGGTGTGACCTCACCAGTGCTGAGCAAAAAGGCTGGATCACCTTCCCTGATCTGCTGGCAATGCTCTTCCTAATGCAGCTTAGGATGCTGTTGATCATCCTTGCCATGAGGGCACATTGCTGGCTTATGCTCAATTTGCTTATGCTCAACTTGCTGTCCACCAGGATCCTGATCCCCTTCTGCAAAGCTGTTTTCCAGCCAGTTTGGACCCAGCAGGTACAGCTACATAGGATTATTCCTGGCCAGATATAGGGCTTCACATTTTCCCTTGCTGAACTTCATGAGGTTCCTCTCTGCTCAATTCTCCAGCCTGTCAATGTCTCTCTGAATAGCAGCATAACCCTCTGGTGCACTCCTCACAGTTTTGTATCATCAGCAAACTTGCTGAGGGTATATTCTGCTCCATCATCCAGATCATTAATGAAGACATTGAACAGGATTGGATCAATTTTTTACTGTGAATAGACCACTAGTGACTTGCCTCCTACTGGACTTTATGCAACCGATCATTGAATCATAATCTTTGGGTTGGAAGAGACCCTTTAAGGTCACCTAGTCCAACCCCCCTGCAACGAGCAGGGACATCTTCAACTAGATCAGATTACTCAGAGCCTCATGCAACCGGACCTTGAATGTTTCCAGGGATGGGGCATCTACCATCTCTCTGGGCAACATGTTCCACTGTCTCTGCACCCTCACTGTGAAAAATTTTTTCCTTATATCTAGTCTCTATCTATCTTCTTTTAGTTTAAAAACATTGTCCCTTGTCCTATTGCTACAGGCTCCGCTAAAAAGTCTCTCCCCATCTTTCTTATAAGCTCCCTTTAAGTACTGGAAGGCTGCAATAAGGCCTCCCTGAAGCCTTCTCTTCTCCAAGCTGAACAACCACAACTCTCTCAGCCTGTCCTCATAGGAGGAGTGTTCTATCCCTTTGGTCATTTTCATGGCCTCCTCTAGACCCTCTCCAGCAGGCCCATGTCTTTCCTGTGCTGAGAGCTCCAGAGCTGGATGTAGGACCCCAGGTGGTATCTCACCAGAGTGGAGTAGAGGAGCAGAATCAGCTCCATTGACCTGCTGGCCATGCTTATTTTCATGCAGCCCAGGATTGGTCTTCTGGGCTATGAGTGCACATTGCCGGCTCATGTCCACCTTTTCATCCACCAGTACCCCCAAGTCCTTCTTGGCAGGGCTGCTCTCAATCCCTTCATCCCCTAGTCTGTATCGATACCAAGGGTTGCCCTGACCCAGGTGCAGGACCCTGCACTTGGCCTTGTTGAACTTCATAAGGTTCACGTGGGCCCATGTCTAAAGCTTGTCCAGGTCCCTCTGGATGGCACCCCATCCCTCAGGCATGTCAACCACACCACTCAGCTTGGTGTTGTCTGCAAACTTGCTGAGGGTGCACTCGATCCCACTGTCTATGTTATTGATGAAGATAAAGTGTACTGGTCCTAGTACAAACCCCTGAGGGACACCACTTGTCACCGATCTCCATCTGGACATTGAGCCATGAACCATTACCCTCTGGGTGCGACCATCCCATTAATTCCTAATCCACCCAACAGTCCACCCATCAAGTCCATATCTCTCCAATTTAGAGAGAAGGATGTTGTGGGGGACTGTCAAAGGACTTACAGAAGTCCAGACAGACGACTTTGGTAGCTCTTCCATTGTCCACTGATGTGGTCACTCCATCATAGAAGGCCACTAGGTTAGTTAGGCAGGACTTGCCCTTGGTCAAGCCATGCTGGCTGTCTCAAATCACCTCCCTGTCCTATGTGTGCCTTAGCATAACTTCTAGGAGGATCAGTTCCATGATTTTCCCAGGCACAGAGGTGAGGGTGAGAAGTTGGTAGTTCCCAAAGTCCTCCTTGCTACCTTTTAAAAAATGGGTGCAATGTTACTCCTTTTCCGGTCTCCAGGGTCTTCACCTGACTGCCAGGATTTTTCAAGTATCAGGAGAGTGGCTTGGCAACTACATCAGCCAATTCCCTCAGGACTCTGGGATGTATCTCATCAGGTCCATAAATGTGTGCATGTTCAGGTCTCGAACCTGATCTTCTCCATATTATAGAGGGAGGGACTTTGCTCCTCCAGTCCCCGTCTTGCAAGCCAATCCCTCAAGAGATGTGGGAAGAGAAGTGAAG